GTGCCGGCGGTGTCGAGGGCCGCAAGGTGGTGGTAGCCGGGGCGCGCGACGTCGCGCAGCAGGCCCGTGCCGATCTGGGCGTCGACGCCCACGGGGAAGACACGGATGACGAGGCGGCCAGGCAGGAACTTGGCCCACTCGATGCCCTCGCTGCGACCGTGCAGCTGGACGGCGTCCAGGCCGAGCTTCTGCGCGGTGCTCGCCACCTCGGCCAGCGGCTGGTCGCGGAAGACGCCGACGAGCAGCGGGCGTCTGCCTGCGCGCGAACGCAGCTTCTTGACCGTCAAGGAGAACCAGTCCTCGGGCGTGACGCCGTGCTCGAGCAAGCCGGCGACCGCCTCGGCATCCAATGCGACAGCGTCTTCGGGGGCGCTGCCGGGCAGAGCGCGGACGGCGCGGATGATCTCGGCGGCCTGCGCGTGCGAGACGGTACGCTTGGTGCCCGGTGCCAGGATCATGCCCAGCATGTCGGCGCCGGCTTCAGCAGCCGCGACGGCGTCCTCGACGCTGGAAAGACCACAGATCTTGACGAGGGTGCCGTGGCCCACCAGGGATCCCTCGACGGTGTCTGCGGCGGCGCTGGTGGAAGGCAGGCCGAGCAGGTCGTGGATGAAGGCACGCTTGTCCTTGGCACGCATGAGCGCCTCGCCGACGAGCACGGCGCCGACGCCCTCCTTGAGGTACTTGGCGACGTCGCTGCGACCGGTGATGCCGCTGAGCGCGCAGAGGATGACGCCGCCCTTGTTGGCGGCATCGGCGAGGCGCGAGGTGGTGTCCATGTCGACGTTAAAGTCGTGCAGGTTGCGGTTGTTGACGCCGACGACCTTGGCACCGAGGCGGAGCGCCCGAGTCATCTCCTCTGGGTTGTTGACCTCGACGAGGGGCTCCATGCCCAGGGCGACACTGTAGTCGTAAAGCTGCTTGAGGTGCTCGTCGGTGAGCATGGCGACGATGAGCAGCACGGTATCGGCGCCGGCGAGTCGGGCCTCGGCGATCTGATAGGTGTCGACGATGAAGTCCTTTCTGAGGATGGCGGGACGGTCGGGCAGGTTGTCGACGGCGCGTCTGGCGAGCGAGAGGTCGTGGATGGTGCCCTTGAACCACTTTGGCTCGGTGAGCACGCTGATGACGCTGGCGCCGCCGCGGGCGTAGGCGAGCGCCTGGGCGCCAGCATGTGCGGTGGGGTCGATGTCGCCCTTGCTTGGACTGGCGCGCTTCATCTCGGCCATGACGCCCGGAAGGCCGCGGGCGGCGTGGCGCTGGAGACGCTCGGGGAAGTTGATGAGCGGAGGAGCGAGGTGAAGCGAGAGGGCAATGTCGAGGTGGCGCTGGGAAAATCCGGGGACGGCCTTGGTGGCGGCAATGTCCTTGAGTCGCTGCACGTGGATGCGCTCGAGGATGGTTCCGACGCTAGCGGTGGCGGCAGGGGCGGGCGCGGATCCGTTGGCGGCGGGTGCGCTTGCAGGAGCAGCAGCGCCACCGTCGTTGGCCATGGCGAGGACGGGTTCGGTGGTGCTCTCGGCACGCTCGATGGCGGCGGCGTCGACCTTGGCCTGCGGGTTGGCGTCCCAAGTGCCGCCGGACCAGCTGAGGAAGTTGACCATCATTTCGCGGCCACCGACGCTGAGGATGCTCTCGGGGTGGTACTGCACGGCCTCGACGGTGTAGCGAGTGTGGCGGATGCCCATGACGACGCCACTAGAGGTCTTGGAGGTGACGACGAGCTCCTTGGGCAAGCTGGGCAGCTGGGCGGCCAGACTGTGGTAGCGGGTGCCGACGACGCCGTGAGCGGGCAGACCTGCGTAGAGACCCTTGGCGTCGTGAGCGATCTCGGAGGTCTTTCCGTGGACGATCTCGCCGGCAAACTCGACGATGCCGGTGTAGGCCGAGTAGACGGACTGGAGGCCCATGCAGACGCCGAGGATGGGGATCTTGCCGGCAAAGTGCTTGATGCAGGGGATGGAGATGCCCGAGTCGTGAAGCGGGTGGCCAGGCCCCGGGCTGATGACGATGTTGGCGGGGTTGAGCGCCTCGATCTCCTCGATGGTGACCTTGTCGTTGCGGTAGACGACGAGGTCGGCGCCGGCCTCGGCGAGGAACTGGACGACATTGTAGGTGAAGCTGTCGTAGTTGTCGATGAGCACGGTCTTCCCCTTGGCTACGCGAGAGCCTGTACCGATGGCCTGAGGCTGTACGTTGGAGGCGACCGAGACCAAGCCTTGGGAAGGAAGCGACATTTTTGGCAGGGACAGAAGGAGCAAAGGTGGAAGGCGTGTCGAAGTGGGCTTGGGCTTGCGAGGCAGGAAAGCGCCAAGCTTTATAGGATCCTGGCTTCTGCTGCTGCGACTTGGGCCCGTGCGGATTGCGAGCTGCGACTGAGTGCGACTGCGCTTGTTGTGTGGGAGTGCGGGCAGGGTTGCCTCTGATGTGGTGGTCGAAACGCAAAGTTGGCAACGGTGGGTCCGGCTGATCCGAGCCGAAAAAGGGCTCGGGCGTGCAATGAAACCCTGGGTGGGTGGCAGACCAGCCATCTGCGCAGCGGTCTGTGCTGCTCCGCCGTTCAAAATTGCGCGGTGTTGCGGTGCAGCGCAGGCGAGAAAATCATGCAGGTTTTACGAAGAAACAAAGGGCTGCCAGCGTCGGCCACGCCGCCAACTAGTGCGGCTGTCGATTTATGACTCGCTTCCACGCCTGGTCGGGTGGGGCCTCTGCTCCCAGACAACAGCCTTGGCTTGCACCTCAGCTGGGCGTCGCCATTGTGACTGCACCGCAGGTCCGAGGCTGGATCTTATCATTAGGCTCAATTCAGTCAACGCTCTCAGAGCGACTTGAAGCGGAGACTCCACCGTGCGCCAAGCTTGGCGAGCCCACACTTCCCACACATCTGCGCGTCTCATGTGGCAACACCCTGTGAGGCTGCGTTGCGCCCAGACAATGAGCGTGTGAATCGAGAATTGGATTAGCGTGAACAAGGCGTCTATGCTAGGGATCGATGACGAGGGTGCGAGGTTCACTGGGCGTTCTCCTGCTCGGCGGAGGTGGCAAACTCAAAGGGCTTGCCGCCGTCGAGCTTGGTCTCGAACGCTTTAAAGTTCTCGGCAGGCACGCCGAGCTCGAGGAGCTTGGCAAAGGCGGAGCTAAAGTCGTTGAAGAACTCGTCCTCGCTCTTGGCGTAGCGCTGGACGTGCTGCTTGAACGACTTGTCCTGCACCAGCGCCATGTCGGTCATGAGCATCATGAGGCTCTTGGTCGACTTGTCCTCGAACTGAGGCGGGCCGTTCCACTTGCGCATGTTCCACTTTTCCTTCATGAGCAGGTTGAAGTACTCGTTGGTGAACGAGGTGGGGGCAAACGTCCAGGGACCCTCGAAGCCGGAGCGGTCGGTGTGGCAACGGCCGAGGGCGTGCGCACCGGAGAGCGCCACGATCTCCTGGTCGTTGAAGCCCATCTTGTAAAAGATGTGGCGCAGGTGGTCGGGACCCTTGTCGCCGTCCGGCAGGCGGCCGTCGGGAGTGCACTTGTCGGCAGCCGAGTCCTTGCGGCCCGGGCGCCAGGGGATCTTGGGACCGCCGAGCTCCTGGATGGCGGCGACACCGCCGAGCGTCCAGAGGTCCGAGTAGGTGATCCAGGGGAACTTGTCGTGGATCTTCTGCATAAAGTCGCGCGCGACGCCCAGACCGGCGTTGGCGCCGTGGTCGGACTCGGGGGCGAAGCGCATGGTGGCACCGTTGGAGCCGCCAGTGTTGCTGTGCTTGTCGTACGTGCCCGATGCGTGCCATGCGAGGCGTACGAGCACGGGGCCGAACGAGCCGTCGTCGTAGTCCGGGTTGGACTCGAGCTGCTCGGCGATGGCGTTGTACACCGCCTGGTAGTCGGCCTTGGAGTGTGCGCTGGTGGCGGCGACGGCGGCGCCCTTGGAGCCCGAAAGCTTGTTGGCACCGTCGGGGCCGACACCGAGCAGCGACTTCTTGTCATCCTGGCCGAAAGCAAGGAAGGCACCGCCGGCAACGGCAGCGATGGCGACCGAGGTGAGCAGCACCTTGCTCGTCGACGAGCTGCTCGAGGGCTGAGGCGGCGGAGGCGAGCCAGGCGCCGGGCTGCTGTAGTGACGCACGCTCGAGCGCACCGAGGGACGGGCGAAGGTGTTGATGTTGCGAGCCGATGCTCGCAGCGGCTGGGCCACACGAAGACCAGTGCGAAGCGAAGCCATCTTGACGATGATAGTGGAACAGAGCAGGTGGGGTGGGTGGTGGATGGTGGGCAAGGAGATAAGAAGAACTGGCTTTGACTAGCTTGGCTGCGCAGCCGCTGTTCGGCAGTTCCAACCGAGGCCGGGCAGGGAGCGGTGCAGCTGATCGATCGTCCTCGGCGCGTGTTCACGGCGATGCTCGGTTCCATGCCGTTCGAACCGGTACTGTTGGATTTGTCAGTCGGGTGGCGCGGCTGGGTGCTGGAGTGCTGCTCCGTGTTGGTCTGACTCGGTTTGTGAAAATGTAAGTCTCACCTTTCGGTTGCCGTGTCGCTGCAGGTGGGTCGCCGAACCAACGTGCTTCTTCCGACCCAGCTCGCCGCGGACGGAGCCTTTCGGATATCGCTCGCCAGAAATCCGGATCCAAAGTGAAATGAGGGTCTAACAGACGTCAATATTCGCCATCTCGCACGGAATGTGCTTTTCTCGTCTCCGCGGCGCGCTGAGCTGGAAGATGAAGGCGACGCGTGCAGGGCCAGCGAGCGGGCGAGCGAACGGAAGGCCCAGCCGAGGCGAGCCAGCCAGCCAGCCAGCGCACGGGGCTGCCCAAGTCGAGGTGCCACGTTAACCCTCGGTGCTCGAGAGATGCGCAACCACCCACCCTCATCGCTCTCTCTCTCGGCACTCATCCTCCCTCTTTCATCCACCCGAGCATCGTCTGGACAGGCACTCAAAGCAAAGGGCACCGAGAAGCACTCCCTCGTCTTTCGTCGGTATTGCTGCGTGCACCATGAACCCGCAGCAGCCGCCTCACCAGGCTCCGGGACAGCCCTTCCAGGCGCAGCCCGCCCCACCACGTCCAGGTGCACCTCCTGGCGCCACATTTCCGCCTCAACAGCAGCAGCAGTTCGGTCAGCAGCGTCCCATGCAGCAGATGCCGCCGCAGCAGCAAGGCGCTCGTCCTCCTCCTCCCAACCCAGCCATGCAGCCTCGACCCCAACCCGGCATGCCCATGGCACGACCACCATCTGCACCCTCCACTAGCATGGCCGGCGTCCGCCCCCCAGCAGGCCGACCCTTTCCGCAACAGCCAGGCATGCCGCCCGCTGGAGGCGTTCCTGCTGCTGGGCCGCAGAACCCGGGGCTGCAGCCCAATGCTGCCGCCATGCAGGGTAGGCTGAGCCCTCGACCGCCCGGCCAGCCTGCGGGTACCGCGGGTGTGGAATCGCAAATGGCTGGTCTAGATCTGCAGGGCCGCCAGCCCAGCCCCGCACCGGGCTCAGCCGCTGATGCTGGCCCTGCCAAGACCAAGCGCAGCGCTCGAGCCTACCACACAGACGCCCAGCAGGCTCCCTCGGCCGGCTGGAACGATGCGCCCGGACAGCCAAATCCGCCACCGGCTCCATGGCAGCAAGCAGCCGCTTCCAGGGTCGCACAGCAGGGCCACCACTTCAACGACGCCGACGCCGACGCCGCACTCGACCAGATGCCCGGCCAACGCAACGTCGTCTCTCCGGCACAGGCCGCACACAACCGCGCCATGATGGCCCAAAACGCAGGCCGCCCCAACTTTCCGCAAAACCAGCAGAGCAACATTCCAGGCATGCAGGCAGCGCTGTCCGCAGGCGGCGGCATCGCACAGCCACCCCACCAGGCCGGCCAGCGATTCGCCGGTCCGCGTAGCAAGATCGACCCGGACCAGATCCCCAGCCCCGTCGAGATGCAGGATGCCGACCAGGACTTTTTCGACAAGGAGTGGTTCGCCACGTGCGGACGAGGCGGCATGCCGCTCAGCACCACCAGCTTTGCCGCCGTCGACCAAGGCAACTGCTCGCCCAGGCACATGCGCCTCACCACCTACAGCATGCCGGCCACCGACGAGCTCGCCACCACCTCGCAGCTGCCTCTTGCCGTGCTCCTGCAGCCTTTCGCACAGCTGCGCATCGACGAGGCGCCCATCCCCGTCGCCACATTCGGCGAGAGCGGCCCACCGCGATGCAAGCGCTGCCGCGCCTACATCAACCCCTGGTGCGTATTCGTCGAAGGCGGGCAAAAGTGGACGTGCAATCTTTGCGGCACTGCCACCGAGGTCGCCGCCGACTACTTTTGCAACCTCGACATGAGCGGCCGCCGTGTGGATTTCGACCAGCGTCCCGAGCTCTCCCGCGGCTCGATCGACTTTGCCGTGCCCAAAGAGTACTGGGCGGTCCAGTCGGCGCCGCCGGCATCCGTCCTGCTCCCCGTCGCCCCGGCCAGCACCCGAACCGAGACGGCCAAACTCGACCCCAAGTCCGACGCCAACAAGGACTTTGAGGGAACCACGCTCGGACTCAGCGGCCAAGGCGCACAGGCAGCCAAGACCGCCACCAAGGCCGCCAGCGAGGCCTTCAGCGGGCTCCAGATCGGCAAGGGTCGCACCACCGTGCGTGCTCCGCGTCCGTTGACCTACTTGTTCGCCATCGACGTGAGCTACAGCGCCGTGCGTTCCGGCGCCCTCGCCAGCTCCGTCGAGGCGATCCGCGAGACGCTCTACGGGCCCAAGACCGCCGCCGACGCCGAGGGCACCAACGGTGCACCGGATGCGGATGCTACCGCCGGTCCCGGCTTCGGCCTCGTAGAGGGCGCACGTGTGGCCATCCTCACCTTTGATCGCGCGCTTCACTTTTACAACCTCTCCGCCGAGCTGGATCAGGCACAGATGCTCGTCGTCGGCGATATCGACGAGCCGTTCGTGCCTATCAGCGACGGCCTGCTGGCAGACGCCTGGGAGTCGCGCCATCTGATCGAGGGCCTGCTCGACAACCTGCCCTCGATGTTCGCCGACAGCATGGTCGGCGATGCCGCGCTTGGCGCCGCCGTTCGAGGAGCACAGGCTGCGCTCTCGACCATCGGCGGACAGGTCAACATCTTCCTGTCGACGATTCCGACTGTCGGACCCGGCGCTCTCAAGCACCGCGAAGACACCAAGCTGTACGGCACCGACAAGGAGCGCAACCTGTTTGTGCCCCAGGATGGCTTCTACCGCGGCGTGGCGGAAGAGTGCGTGGATGCGGGCATCGGCATCAACGTCTTCTTCTTCCCTTCGCAGTACATCGACGTGGCGACCATCGGCGTGCTGCCGGGCTTCACGGGCGGAGAGGTCTTCTTCCACCCGCGCTTCGACCCGGTGCGCGACGGCGTCAAGCTGCAGAGCGAGGTGCGTCGCACGGTGCTGCGCGAGACGGCATTCAACGTGACGATGCGCCTGCGCTGTTCCAACGGGCTGCGCGTCGCCGACCATTTCGGCAACTTTTTCCAGCGCAACGTTACGGATCTCGAGGTGGGCACCATGGACGCCGACAAGTGCGTGGCGGCACTGGTCAAGCACGATGGCAAGCTGGACGAGAAGCACGAGGCGCACTTCCAGTGCGCCGTGCTCTACACGACGGCCGAAGGCGAGAGGCGGGTGCGATGCCACAACATCGCCGTTCCCGTGACGTCGCTGCTGGGCAACGTCTTCCGCTACGCCGACATGGACAGCACGGTGGCGTACTATGCCAAGGAGGTGGTGTCGCTGGCGCATGCCAAGCCGCTCAAGGAGGTGCGCCACTACCTGACGGACAAGTGCGTCAAGATCCTGCTGGCGTACCGCCGCAACTGTGCGTCGTCGACGAGTCCGGGCCAGCTGATCCTGCCGGAGAGCTTCAAGCTCTTCCCGCTGTATGCGCTTGCCATCAACAAGACCAAGTGCATCAAGGGCGGCAACGTCACGTCGGACGTGCGCGCGTTCTACATGCGCTTCTTCCGCGCCCAGGGTGTGTCGGCGATCATGTCGATGCTGTATCCACGCATGATCGCGCTGCACACCATGTCCGATGCCGACGGCTCGCCGATCAAGATCCAGCAGCCGGACGGAAGCAGCGTGGACGGCACGCGCATCAAGACGCCCGCGCTCATGCGACCGTCGTATCTGCGCATGGAGGGCCACGGCGCCTACCTGCTCGAGAACGGCGAGATGTGCATCGTGTGGTTGGGCGCCAACGTCAACCCGCGCCTGCTGGAGGACCTGTACGGCGTCAACTCGCTCGAGGAGGTCGACGCGCGCATGACGCGGCTGCCCAAGCTGCCGACCAAGCTGTCCAAGCAGGTGCGCGCCATTGTGCAGTCGTTTGCGCAGCAGAGGAACAAACCCGAGCTGCCCGTCCTCATCGCGCGCCAGAACCGCGACGGCACCGAGGTGGAGCTCGCCAACAGCCTGGTCGAGGACCAGAACAACGACGCCATGAGCTACGTCGACTACCTCTGCCACGTGCACAGGATCATCAGCTCCGACATGACCTCGGGTAAGGAGGAGTCGTCGTCTTGGTTCTCGTCGTCGTAGTAGTCTCGCCCGTTCCACCTTTGTAGACTGCTTGGGCTGGCGGCCCTAGAACCAAAGCCGAGTGTCAACAATTGCAGATCTAAACTTGTGTGTCCTCGTCGACAGTATGCGGGCGGGGCTGAGCTGCCTCTACAAGATCGGGATTTTTTAAAGCGAAATGCAGACGATCGGGGCTTGGCTGGCGACGCGCGTGTCGCGTTGATGGACGTGATTTCGAGTGGGTTCAGAATGCGGCGCTCCAGGCCTGCTGGCCCAAGCGGGCCGTGGGAAGCTCAAAAGTGTGACTCTCGCTAAAGAGCGTCGGAGATTATGCCGCGCCTCGAGAGGATCGGCAACACCGACATCATCTCTTCCTCATCAGCCTGCGCACGCGCAAGAGCAAGCGAGTATTCTGCACAAGATGGCGATGCCTCGCGTATTCCTCGCGCGTCACGGCGAGACGGAATGGTCCATCTCGGGACAGCACACCGGCCGCTCCGACATCCCGCTCACACCGCACGGCGAAGAGGTGATGCGCCAGCTCGCGCCCAGCATCGTCGGCGTCGGCAACGGCAAGCTCATCGACCCCACCAAGCTCAACCACATCTTTGTCAGCCCGAGGACGCGCTCGCAGCGCACGCTCCAGATCATGCTCGACCACATCCCCGCCAGTGAGCGCGAGCACATCCCACAGGTAGAGATCCTCCAGGACTGCCGCGAGTGGGACTACGGCGCCTACGAGGGCCTCAAGACCGATCAGATTCGAGAAAAGCATCCCGGCTGGGATATTTGGACCGAAGGCACGCCGGACCACCCCGAGCGTCCCGACGAGCTGCCCGGAGAGTCGGCACAGCACATGAGCGACCGCATCGACTCGGTCATCGCCAAGATCCGCGAGCTCCAGTCCGGGCACGTCGACAAGCGCAACCAGGGCCACGACGTCGGTGCCAAGACGTGCGACGTGCTGCTCGTCTGCCACGGCCACTTCAACCGTGTCTTTATCGCACGCTGGCTGGGGCTTCCGCTCACCAACGGCCGTCTGTTTGAGATGGATGCGGGAGGCATGGTGGTGTTGGGCTATGCGCACCACAACTTTGCCGAGCCCACCATCGCAGGAATGTTCTCGTCCAAGACCGGGCCCAAGGGCGATGTTGAGGGCGCACCCGGCTCCGCAGGCTCGGCCAAGCACGACGAGTCGCAGTACCTCGAGCTCGTCTCGCGCATCATCTCGACGGGCGAGGCGCGGTCCGACCGCACGGGTACGGGCACCGTTGCGCTGTTTGCACCGCAGCTGCTGCGCTTCGACCTCGCGGACGGCACGCTGCCGCTGCTCACCACCAAGCGCGTCTTCTTCCGCGGCGTGCTCGAGGAGCTGCTCTGGTTCGTGGCGGGCAAGACCGACTCCAAGCTGCTCACGGACAAGGGCGTGCACATCTGGGACGGCAACGGCTCGCGCGAGTTTCTGGATTCACGCGGCCTGCACCATCGTCGCGAGGGCGATCTCGGCCCCGTGTACGGCTTCCAGTGGCGTCACTTTGGCGCCGAGTACAAGGACTGCGATGCCGACTATACGGGGCAGGGGGTGGACCAGCTGCGCCAGGTGATCGACAAGATCAAAAACAATCCTACCGACCGACGCATCCTCCTCAGCGCGTGGAATCCGCGCGACCTCGAGCTCATGGCGCTGCCGCCGTGCCATATGTTCTGCCAGTTCTACGTGTCCAACCTGGACGCGCACGCGCGCGGCGAGGGCAAGAAGCAGCTCTCGTGCCAAATGTACCAGCGCTCGTGCGATCTCGGGCTGGGCGTGCCGTTCAACATCGCGAGCTACGCGCTGCTCACCTACATGGTCGCAAAGGTGACCGACTGCGAGCCCAAGGAACTCATCCTCTCCATGGGCGACGCACACGTGTACAAGGACCACATCGAGCCCCTCAAAGTCCAGCTCGAACGCCAGCCTCTGCCCTTCCCCAAACTCAACTTCAAGCGCCACATCACCGACATCGACGACTTTACCTACGACGACTTTGAAGTCCTAGGCTACAAGTGCCACCCCAAAATCGACATGAAGATGAGCGTCTAGACTTCGTTCCCACCGGAAACAGCAATCTTGAAAATCATTCCAGCTCATCCCTGACCGCCGCTCAGCACACAAGATTGGCTGCACAACAGACGAGCATCGTGAATGGAAAACCGAGACGGGAGGTTCGTGTGGATTGGCCGCTAGATCTGCGTGGGAAAAGGGAGGATGAGAAATGCAACAGGTACAAGCGCGCACGAGACCATTTTTTTGTTTACGGGGAAGTGGTTGAGAGGATGGAGGAGGATGTCGCCCATCTCGCCGCGTTCCGTTGCGGCAAGATCGGCCAGTGATCAGAAAGCGCGCCACAGGGCATGCCTTCCGACCGTAAGATGCTTCTTCGACCCATCGCTGGCGCGAAGGGGGAAAAAAGGACCTGTGCTGGTGGTGCTACACAATTTACAAGACGGTGAAGACACGGACGATGTTGTCCGAGTAACCGGCGAAGAGGGTCTGGCCGTCGGCGGACCAGGCGAGCGACAGGCACTCGGGGTCGGCCGAGTTCTTGCCGACGCCGGTGAACTCGGGCTTGAGCTCGTCGACGATGCTCTTGGACTCGAGGTCGAAGATCTTGATGCACGAGGCGGTGGCGGCGCACAGCCAGTAGCGGTTGGGCGAGAAGACGAGCGCGTTGACAGTGTCACCAGCCTCGAGCGAGTAGAGGTGCTTGCCGTCCGACAGCTCCCAGAGCATGGTGATGCCGTCCTTGCCACCCGAGGCGCAGAGCGAACCATCGGGCGAAACGGTGACGGTGTTGATGTAGCCAGTGTGGCCGTAGTGGTTGGTCTTCAACTTGCACTTGCTGAGCTCCCAAACCTATGCAGCGCGGGAAAAGGAAGAGGGTAGTCGTCAGTCATCGAGTCCGCGTCCAAAAAAAAAAA